TCATTGTATAATGTGCATAGACATTCACAGGAGATTGGAGTATGCGCTTAGGCAGATCATTAATATAGAGCCAGAAGAGAATTGGACTGAGTAATAAAAATGCGACATTGCGTTCATTGATTTCCTGTGCCTTTGAGGACTGGCCATAATAACAAGATTATGTGTGGTATGATGAGGTTGAAATACTTACTGTAAAAAAAAACGGAGAAATTCCCAAGGGTGGGGAAAAGCTTACTTCCATTTATAAAATGAAAAGGTGGAGAGGGGGGCATTTTGTTTATTTTATGATTCATAAGCATTACACAAGCATCACAGAAATTGATCCTTTGCTAAAGGTGTTTATTGTGAAAAAGTCATTAGTTACCTTTCAATAAAAAAATTTTTTGATGATTTTTACTTTCAAATTATGCATGTTTTTTTTTTTTATCATAAATAACATTTTTACCTTTTGAATGATTTCCAAACTCACATATGTATCGAGACTCAACAAATTCTAAAAAAAAAATATGGATCCATACAGGACTTAGACACTATGAAAAATTTATTTCCTTTAGTTGCAGTTTGCTATTAGATAGATATATATCTCCAGTAAACAAATAAATCCAATTTGACCCAATTTTGTCCGTTTTGGGTCCTGGAAAAAAATGGGATAAAGTTCTAAACTGAAGTATAAATAGTGGCAAACTTTTGGATCCCGCAAAAAAACCCTGTGTCTTATAAACAGAGGATTATTGTAATTTATCACGAAGAAGGTCTTCACCTTCATAAGTTAGAGAAAGTGGCTAGTGAGATAGGCCTCTACATTCTTCTTCTTTTATGTTGACTACATCCTTTCTGGATGTAGGCGATCATGGCCCTCCACATCTTCCTGTCCCTTATAGCTCTTTATAAGTTTTGTCTTTTTTGTTAATTCTCCCAAACACTGTTCTATTATCCATTTACTTAAACTCATTAAGTATACTACACTATGCTTTCCTCTGCCCCTAAATCTATCCTGTGAGTATCAGATTTTCCAAAACTTCCTTCCTTATTACATGCCCTAGAAATTTCAACAGCTTCTCCCTGATTTTAAGTATAAGTTTCCTTTTTCTCCAAAACCTTGTTGTTGCTCACATGTTCAGTACATGGTATCCTCAGCATGTTTCTGTAGAACCACACTTTTGTTGCTTCAAGTCTCCTCTTCATCTTTGAGGATATTGTCCTGCATTTGCTGCCATACAGAAGGACAGATAACAGTTCAATACTGTCTTTGACCAAAATCCTAATATGTCTTCTGATCTCAGCATTGTACTTAGTGTACCAGATTTATTCAATCTATACAGCAAGGCAATTCTGAGAGAATTAGATGTCCTACCAGGATTCATTACTAGTGGCCACAATCTTAACAAGAGCTGACATGTAAAGGAAATTACAAAAGCCTCTACATGAAGGTAGTGAAGGAAAACAAGAAGTAAGGACAAAGTATAAACTACAAAACAAAATCCATGGTTATCATCAAAAGGGACGAGAACCGAAAATGCAAATTACAAATCAGGGATACTAAAATCAAACAAGTACAGGAGTTTATATATCTGGCCTCCATATTAATGTTTCTAAAAGTGAATATCTGGCATAAAACTAGATTACATGACAGCTGATATTCTGTAAGTGAGGATTTTAAGTAGCTGGGCGGGGGTCTATATTGCAAGCTCTAAGAACGACATGTTCGTTAGAATGAGCAAAGTCTGGGGTGGCTTTAACAAATATTTTTCTTTCTTGTTTCTTTTAATAATGTTCACCTTGTACAAGGCCCAAGAGCTACTCAAGGTAGAGACAAAAACAAAACTCTATGAAAATATAAAAATCCCAGCAATACATTTTTACATAAAAAAAAAATTACCAACAATGCATATTTAGTGTAAAATGACCAATAATACATTTTGTTTATAGTTGAAGGCATACAATTGCATTCAAAATGTATTTAATTGAAGCCATAAAGTTTAGATTCAGGTATTAAATAACCCATAAAGGTTGATATGCTACCAAAGAAAACCAACCGACATGAAAGAACTCTTTCATGAGATTTGTCCATATAATATCCTGCAATTTCTTAAAAAAAAAAACAAAAAAAAAACACAGTGTATTCCAAAATATAACTTCAACAAAACTACAATTTAAAAAACACATATATCACCACCTCTAGTAATTATGTCCACACAAACATGTATATGCACAAAAGCAGAGTATCATCTACCATCTATTCAATTGTGAAAGCAGAATAACATGTATCATATTTTTATTACTTCAGAGCTCCCAAGAAAATTAAATTCTGGCATTAAATGACCCATAATAGTTGATGTGCTGTTAAATAAACAAAAAAATGGCAAAAGTATTAGTCTTTTCTTTTGTTGTATTCGTACTTATTAACCTGTTGCTTATGACATGGTTAGTGAATTCTGAATTTCATGTCCGTCCAATGATGTTTGTGTCTTCAATGTCCAAAGGCGTTACATTTGCCTATCCAGGCCGAGGAGTCAGTTAATTGTGTGTGTGTGTGTGTGTGTGTGTGTGTGTGTGTTTTTATCTCTTTAAGAAAACATTTTCTTTATCTGACTCTTATAAATTTCGTGTATGAGTAGTTTATGGAGGGGATAAACAAAATGAAATTTGAACAATGAAAAATATCCAGGATCTCACACACAAATGCACATATATCTATATCTCTATCAACATGCCTTGAGTCAGCTTAGACACATAACTCCTCAAGTCTGACAGACTTTGGGGAGGCCTAGGGTCTGTAGTGATCTAAGAAAATGGCTGACACACACACACACACACACATGCAGAAAAGCTGATGTGTGGGGGAATTGTTTATAAAAGTCAAGAAATTTTCAGCACCCACCTGATACACTTATTAACCAGAGTTCAGTTCAACCATCTTAAATAAGCTTTTGGTGCCCAGTAGGAGATGGTGGACTGGTGGGTGTTGGGAAGTGGATGTTATTTTATGAGACACTTTTGGTGCCATTATAATGTTGTTTATGGGCCACTTTGTTTAAATTACAAGAAAACTTGTGTGAACCAGGCTGAACTTGAACCAACAATTTCACCATAAATTTATCTCCCAAATTGTTTCAATGCGAAATACAATCACCCCACCCTGCCTCTCTCTCCACACACACACACACACAAAAATGTTTGTCTTGTTCATTACTCATATGACAAAAAAAAAAAAAAAATCCCATTTCTCTTTCACTCCTGCCCTCATCTCTTTATTGGTTTGTCTATATTTTTCAAGTTGGAGAAACGCTTTGGACTTCTTACATTGTTATTTGAAAACACTTTGAGTTAAATGTTTAATTTGAACTGAAATGCAAGCTGTTGCTGGCTTCTCATCTTCCATGTAAACAATACATAAACTTGTTCAATTAGTGATTATGGACTGATATGACTATAGGATTTTTATCTCATGGAAATGGTCCCCTTAGTAGGTTTCTAGTGACAATAAAAGAACTGTCTTGTTCACATTAAGCTGTTTGTTAGCTGTAATTACCTTATTGTTTAATTAGCACAAAGGAAACTGTCTTATTAGCTGTGGCACTGACAAGGATTTGATTGGCATGTATTTACTTTAGCATACCAAACTACTGTGCTGCCCATCAAGCTGATCATTCAATTAAAGTTTCATTATCAGAGAATAACTGTCTCCATACAAGAAACCTTTGGTTCTCACTGACTGAAAAGTCAGCGTTAATGTTGGTTGAAATTTATAAAATCTTTCTTGAGAAATTAGATTTCACAAGTCCACTGTTACCAATCTTTCTAGTATTGAGTGGAGTTTCCTTCCTAACCTTTTGTTTAAGATTGCGTGGAAAGTTGACATCTTGATTATATCATTATTTTTTGTTCTTTTAAATTTTTAACTTTAAATTTAAAAATAAAACAAAATCTTAATGTTAAAATTCTTTTATATAAAATAAAAATCAGGAAAATTTTTAACCAATATAAATTTCATATTAACATGTTTTACCATTAAGTAATCCACAAAATGTTTATATGCTGTAAAACAATCACATTATATGTGCTATCTATTTTAGTTGTTGCTGCTGTTTGAAGTCTTTTGTTAGTTGGTAAAAATTGTGATTTTGTAACCGCAGCCTTTAGGGTCTTATGAAGGATTGTAAATAGGATTTATTCATTGGGACAAATGACAGTTTAGACATTTCTGTCTAAATTTTTTTATACAAAGTGAACCAACATGGATAATTTAAAAAAAAAAAAATGATATTTTGAGTTTTACTGGAAATAATCACATTCAAGCCTTTCTTACATCACAGTTTAATAGTGTTCAGACTTGTAGATTGTCAACATATTTGGTTTAATAATCATATGGCCAACTCTTGTTCCAACTCATTTGCTGACTTTAATCCTTTTTCTCTCTGGTCTATACACAAAAAACTGTTTACTCCCCCTCCCACCAAAAAAACCAAACAAATCCAACAGTAAAGAATTATCATATGACTTTTCTCTCTACAAGAAGAATGAATGCCACATTCAGCAATACTCCAACTTGTCTAGTTTGCTTTTCTCTCTCTCTCCCTCCAGTGTGATAGAAGAAACTGTTATTATAGAACTTATGGTTACATCTCACAGCCATTTCATCTGTAAAATAATGAGACCTATCTGCCAATCTAGTACTGCTTTTAAATTCATAAAGTCTAGGTACTATAGAGGAAAATTCATCAGAATATATATAATATTCATATTACCATGAAATATTTATAGAAAAAGCAGAGGAAAGCTAGATTATTGCCATGGGAAAGTAAAGTGTCAATCATTTAAATTTCTTTGATTAAATGGATTCAAAAACGTTTTATAACAATTATTCAACTGAAAGTCAATGTTTCATTTCAAGTCAAAGGAAGAAATGTTGGCCTCTTAAATGAAAACCGTCAACATGTCGCTTCTCATTTATCCGGGATTGTTTTATTTTTTCGAGGCTTTTTTTTTTTTTTTTCCAGGTGATGTCCTTGGTTTGTTATTAGATGTCGATAAGCAGCAACTGGTTTTCTCTTTGAATGGAAATAGTCTACCTGCAAATAAAGAATTATTCACGCATGCAAAGTAAGTGAAACCTGGTTTTTATGCATGTGCTTTTTTTATATTTTTTTTTTCTTTTTATGCTCCCATTTTTATTGCGATGACTTTTTGACCTTTTTATTAACACCTGTTGGAGATGCCATCCAACTAAATCGCAATTCTATGGACCTGTCCCTGATATTTCTACAATCTTACATGAATTCAGAATGTGCTTTGCAGGACACTTCTGGCAAACAAAACGAGAACTTGATCTACTGCTCTGGTACATTTAGCCATGGCATAAGACAGGCTGGTTGCCTAGCAACCATCTACATTGATCAGCTGCGTTACAACACAGAGTACAACCCAAGTGACATTCCAACTTTGATGGTTGGCATGATAGACTTGTGGATGTTCAAATTAGCTTAATTGAATAAAGAATAATTTACGTTTTAATCAACTTCTATTTGCTGTTGTTGCAGAGATGTTGTCAAGAATAATTGTATCTTTATAAGAGTACAAAAGTCTTGGAGAATGTTTCTATTTATAAATCATCAAGAGTTAATTGGTTCCTCATTTTACGTCTATCAGAATTATCATTCTGCTGAATTTCTTCTAAACTAACAAAGGGTACAGGTGATCAAGGATTTGGAATGACCGACTGCGGATATTGAATTTTGATTATTGCATCTCTGCAATTTCTTTTATAGCAATTGCAGAACTTCTTTATCTGCCTTGTGTCATCTTGATAGAATTTCTTGGAACACATTTGGAATTTAACAACTTCCTCCTATCCTGATATGTTTCACCTGCTCCCTCAGCTGGAAAAAAATCAAAACAGGCAAAGAACAGATTTGGCAAAGATGAGTCGAATCTTCTAATAAAATGCGGAACATTTTGAAAACGATCTCTACATGGATTTTAAACATAACTGATAGATTGGTTAAATAAATACTGCCAAACTAATTTTTATGATTTAAAAATAAACCTCAAAAGAACTTTCAAAAGAAGTTTTCAAAATTTTTTTTTTCTTTTGTAGATTTGGCTTTTTTGCTGCGGCCAGTTTCATGTCATATCAACAATGTGAATTTAATTTTGGTGCCAAGCCCTTCAGGTATCCTCCCAAGACATCATTTAAGAAATTCAACGATTATGGTCACCTTTCATCAGATGAAAAAGTCATCCTGCCTCGGTACGTGCCTCTTTACACCATCTTTCACTTTGTTTGGTTTATAAAACAAGCAAATGAGAAAGGCAACATTGTTTTATTTTTTTTCTTTCTTTTTGTTTTTTGTTTGTTTTGTCTTTTGCTTTGTTTTGTTTTTATTTTTATTATTATTTTTAACAAGTGCTGAAAAGATCTTGGTTTGACAAAAAAGCCCTTACTAAATTTGGTTGGATTTTGGGAAATGGGGGGAGGCGAATAACTATCTGAGCACCTCTCATTAAAGACCACAAATGTGTTCATGCCTTTTTTTTTTTTTTTTTATTCATGGCTGCTTTGTTAAAGAGGTGTGTGTGTGTGTGTAAGATCTTTGGCAGAAGGATTGAACTCCCCACTTCCAGTTTTTTCTTGCTAGACTTGCCTGTCACACCTGCTGATTGAAATAGGTTCAGCTCAATAAAAGTGCCTGATAGATGTGGAAACTCAATCTTGATATCCGTTACGTTGGTCTCTTTTAACAATTCCTATCCTTTCAACTTGTGCCGTTCCTTAACTGATTTGTCAATACCCAATAGTATTTGTAGAATACATAAAGAATTATTTGTCAATGCCTACACGTTTTCCACCTCTGCTTCCGTGAACTCTAAAACTTAGTCATGGTTAAAGTCAAATCAAGCTGTGTTATATACTCTTAGCCTCAATGTAAATAAATAGGGTGGGTCATGTGGAGACTGGTTTTTCCCTTTGTACTATCTTCTAATTGCAATGTAGCCAGACATGCTGCACACTGTTTTTAAAGTCACGATCTCTTTCTCAGATTTTATAAGAATGTGCTAATTGTAAATACTGTAGAAAGTGAATCTAAAATTGACTTGGTTTGAAGAGTAATGATCATCTTCTGGTGAAAAAAATTATTTACCTCATTTCATATTGTGAATGTCTTCTCATAATTTGTTCTGTATATTTTTAGGCATATGAAGATGGCCTTGTTACAAAAAGAATCTCTACCTGAGGGATCTTGTACATTATGCTGTGATAAACAGGCCAGTGTTGTCTTGTGGCCATGTGGGCACAAGTAAGTCTCTTTCTCAGTTAACTCTCTCTCTCTCTCTCTCTCTCTCTTGCTCCCCCTTTCTTTCTCTTGTTCTCACCCTCTCTCACAAGTGCCAACAACATTTTTTTTTGTCTCAAATGGGTATGAAATGTAATCATGGAATTTAGACACCTAATGAGGAAAGAAGGCTTGGATAATTTAACTCACATAAGAAAAACAGAGGCAAAGATTGAGTAACCATCCAGAAGTAAATAATCCTGGAATTAAATAACGCAAATGTAACCACTTTTAAAGAAAGATTTAGTCGTATGATATCATTTAAAATAGATAAATATGCAAAATAGCACAACATTATCAAAATATATATGGAGTCAAAAAGAAAATAATATACCTACTACAGTTAAATGGGAAATTATAAAAAAAGGTACCTCCATATAATATTATGAATAGGAACTGTAGACTGTGTTTAGAAGGAAAATTATCAACAACTTCTATATAAACGATAAAAAAAAATTAAATTTTGAAGAAAAAATTGATAACTAGAAGAAAAATCTACAGGTGAAAAAGATGAGACATAAACAAAAGCAAAATTTAAGGAACATGAGCACATGTAAAAGAATGTTAAATTTATGAATGCACACATGTACAAAACAGTAAAAAAGAAAAAGTGGATTGGAAAAGATGCGGAAAAAATTGGAAATACCATTTAAAACTACAACCCCTGAAGACTGGAAATTTTACCAAGAAACTTCGAAGACAGGATAAATCAACATTTAACAGTTAAGTAATCTTTTCACATATATATATATATATATATATATATATATATATATATATATATAGTTTATGAAAAACTAGGTAATCCGTATGGGTAAATCTAAGGAGGTAAATTTTCTTTTTTCATTTTGTTTGGAAGTAAAAATCTGATGATCGCAGTCCTTTAAAAGAGCTGTGGTGAAATAATTTATTACATGAAACCTTAAAATGGTCTGTTTTGATTTAAAAATATATATATATATATATATATATATAATATAAAGAAGTTAATGGTCAGAGTTGAATAAGACTAGGGAACAGTAGTATTAAAAAAGTGCTCAATACACATATAAACAGATAAAAATTTGATATGTAGAGCTTTTAATTATAGAAAATTAGGAAATCAGCTGATTTTGCTACCTTTTAGTCAATTGATTACCTTAGACTTTATTTTTTTAAAATATAAAGCGTTAGGAAATCAATTGACTGAAATCACCTTAAGATTGACTGATTTCCTAATTTTTGAATATATATATATATATATATATATATATATAAAAATAAAAAGAAAGAACAGTAAGATATATAATCCGGTGTTCTTATAGATATTTTTATTTTTACAAAATAGTGCTCAATGTAAATTTACAGAGCATTAATATTATAAATTGATTTATTTAAAATGTTTTTTTTCGCTACACAGTTCTAACCATGTTTCAAAAATGGAAGCTAAAAGCTACGAATTTAATTTTGTAATTAAATTAAAGACATTAGTTCCATTTCATCCTCAAGCGAATTTTGGAGTTACTTTTAAAATTACTGGGTTTTAAAGACACAGCTAAAATCCTAATTCACGTTTCCAAGTTTACAGATAAATCTACTTCAACTAGACATTATTGAAGAGGGTATTGAGGGGGAAAGAAAAAGAAGAAAGTTGTCAGCACAATGAGCAGAGATAGGTGGGGGAAGTACAAGTGACAGCTAGTGAAATACAGTGAAATTAAATCAAAATTTATATCCTCCTCATCTAATTTACATCACTATAATTGTCATGATTATCATATAAAAAAAAAAAAAAAAAATTAATGATATAAAAAAAAGCTAAAGTGAAGGGAATGCAAAAATCTCAAAAATATGGAAAAGTTCCATGATAAAGAAATTGAAAACCACAAAATATGTCCAAGAAACTTGATGTATCTCCAAATCTTTGATGTTAATTTTCGTTATCTTGATGTCTTTCAGGGGATACTGTGAAACGTGTGCACTTCAACTTGAACGATGTCCCATGTGTCGGGAACCAATCCAAGAGCGTAGGGCTGACCCTGAGGAAAACACAGATCGAACTATAACATCCTGATCTCTACTCATTCTACCAAAAGCCACCACCAATCCCTAAAATATCCTCTCTGGGTAGCACCTGTTGTCTTTCAAGACTTCGCCACTACCAAGGGTTGTTGGATTATGGAGAGAAAGAGAGAGAAAAAACCCCCAAAAAACAAAACTGAAGACTAGCTTAAATTGCCAGTCCAAACGGCGCCAATGGACACCACCACCACCACATGTTGCCTGCCCATGCCAGTAACCCCTTCCACTAGGAAAGCCTTCCTTTTAAAGGATTATGCTCTGTGGTTTGGGCCATATGCACAATAATTTCTTGAAACAAAAAAAAAAGTCATACAAAGATGAACAAATAAAATGAAATAGAAATTGTTGGGACAATTCAATTATTTCTATGATGACGAGCTCTGCGTGCAGTGAATGGCAAACATTTCCTTCAGTTACTTTTACTGCTGTGTTTGTTTTCTTTTCTATTTTAAACAACTGAGCCTACTTGAGAAAGTTATGTTTTGTATAAAAACAAAAAAAAGAAAATCAATTTTTGTCAAATATTTTCATTTTTTTTTGTCTAAGTTGAAAGAAAAATCTTTATATCTGAAATATTGTCAAGTTTCATTGAATATATAAAAAGAAAAATAGCTCAAATTCTTAGATTTTATCTTAAAAATAAATCTCACTTTCATATATCTGATGCATTCAAGCTCTTACGCTCTCAAACACAATCTCAATCACACACCTTCAGTCTCTCTCTGTCTCACACGCTCTCTCTCACATGCACCCTCAATCTCTCTCTCACACACATGCACCCTCAATCTCTCTCTCACACACACGCACCCTCAATCTCTCTCTCTCTTTCTCTCTCATAAGCAGAACCAAAATAACCCATGTTGTTTTAGTTTTATTTTCTCTCCAAAGTACGGATATATTGCCATCATGGGACGAGTCACATTACCCCAAAAGAATTCCTATTGCATTTGCTTTGTCACAAATCTCGCTCGCGACCCACCCCGTCTCCAGCGAAATAGTCATTGAATCCAAGAGACAATCACCCAACTGGTCAACTCTTCTCCATTTTTATTTTTTATTAATCTCTCCATTTGTTCAATGTGGCAAACAAATCCTTCATTTGTCACCCTCATCGCAGTCATTGTACCCTACCTCCTCCTCTTCTTAATGTCCTTTTTAACATGATTCTTTCTTTTCTCTTTTCATTCTGATCGCCTGACCCTAGAAGCCTATTCACTACATCTTCAATCTCCTGACTCCATAATTTCAACTGCCAAGTGCATAGATTTCAACAACTCATCTCATGGAAAGTGTTTACAAAATAAACACAAAAAAACAAAATCATGTTAAAATCTTCATGATTAGATTTCAAAAATAGTTTTTAAAATCTAAGCAAGTGTTTAATTCTTGAACAGATTTCTTGTACTCTGACTGTAAAATCTCACTCATATATTCAATGATAGCATTCCCCCCCCACCACCACCACCACATTTGAAGCATTTATCATACACAGGATAGAAAAAAAAAAGTTTAATTTTTATTTAACTTATAAAAAGGCATTTCTTATAAATTTATACAAAAATATTACAATTTTTTTTTTTTTTTTAGCATAAAAGTTGTTTTTTTTTTCTAGTATGTAAAAGTTTTTCCTGCCTATGAATCTTTTTTTCCTGCCTATAAAAGCATTGTAATAATACCAACACTTATGAAGAAATTACACTTATTTTTTGCCCCTCATTTTTATTGCAATGTCCAATAGATTACATCTATGTAGCACACTTGGAGCCTAAGGAATTTTTAACATTCTTAGTTTATTAAAAATGTCAAAACTCTCATATTTTTCCATTCTCAGAACATAAGCGCCAATTCTTTCAATCTCTAGAGAAATAAGTTTCTTTTCTTTGTTTATAAATGAGTATAAATTCTAAGTTTTGAATCAATAATGGCAAATCAAAAACTCATGTCCTGTTTGAAAAGCATTCAAAATTGCTTTATAGGCTTTGAAAACTAATTCTTGTATGGTTTGCCAAATTAAAAACTAGATTTTAATTTTAAAATATTTAAATAACTAAAATCCATAAATTGAAGAAGATGAAAAAATATGACCAAATTATTTCGATAATTTCAAATTGTGACTTGCATTGATGACTTTGGGAGGAAACCAAAGTGTTATTTTGTACTTTTCAGTTAAATTCAAAAACAAAGTTGGAGATTTTGATTTCAAACAGCTTTGTGTACGTCTTGTTGATTTCTTTTTTGAAGTCGTGTAATTTTAATTCTTACTTTTTTTTTTCTTTCTTTTTTTTTTTTTTTGTCCTGGGCTCTAAAGAATCTAAAATCAGTAAGTAAAGAAAAAAAAAAAAAAAGCTTAAGGGAAAAAAATATTTGTGGTTTCAATCGATAACTTATCCTCAGTATGTAAATACGGCTTGACATTCAACCTGAGCGTAAAATAAATTTCCTGCTTCTCAAGTGTAAATAGACACTTTTTTTTAAAAAGCTAAGTATTTTAACCTAAAATCTGTTTTAAAATATTGCAGTTTGAAAATGCAAAAAGAAACTTTCAAATGATGTGCTTAAGATCTAGGAGCACATCACACACACACACACACACACTCACTATGTTAATACTTTTTTTTAAACATTTTTTTTATATTGTAACTTTAAAATTTTCACCAAGTAAAACTTAGTTGTCAAACTTTGGTGTCTAATATATGAGAGATTTTATATTAAGTTGACTGTATTTTAATTTTTAAACCTTTTTACTACTGTTGATATATGCAAAACTAAACTTAAAGTTTAACGATAATGAAAACCAATAAGACTTGAATTGACACTTTATTAAAGATTTATTTCTTATTTATTACTTGCATGAAAAATCTGCAACCCACCACCACTACTACTACTACAACAACAACAAATTCTTCACCATTAATGTTGCTTATTTGTAAATAAGTAACAACTGGTAGATATAAACGAACTGAAATTGACATTCATGGTTGGTTAAACTAACCCAGTTTCAACTAATGTGTTTAGACTTGTTATGCATGTTTGTGTGTCTTTCTTTTTTTCTTTTTCTTCTCCTCCTCCTCTCTCTTTCATGCCCCCTTCCCCCAACCTTGAAGAATTCTAACAAAATTTCATTTTTGCTTTTTCATTCAGGAAACATTCATTTTTCTTTCAACTACAAATTGATGTCATTATTTGCATGTACACACACACACATATATACATTCTAAATTGTTTTGGTTGATTGGTCTGAGATCAAAGTCAAATCTTAAGCGAATGGGTGTGACATTTAGAGCCGTGGCATTCTGGTTCCTCCCAGTGGCCGATTGACATATCACTTTTTCTCGCCATTTGCAGGACCAAAGGGAGATAATTCTTGAATACATTCATGCTGTCTTCAAGCAATTAAAAAAAAATATTGTAAAACATTTGCTAACGGAAAATTTACCTGTTAAGAAATAATTACATTTTTCAATATAATATTAGATAAGTCAACTCTATTAGTTTTATTTTGAATGGATATGCTTTTTACTTTTTCAAACAATTACTAGCTACACGTCCACAACTGTTCATTAAGGAGATATTTCCACATCATCTTCCTCCTTAAAAAAAAATGCAGCTGCTAAAAGTGTTTTATGAATGCAGTCCTGTAAACATTTGCTTAACTGAAAATGTTAATATCAGATATCAATTAGCTTGATATGGAGCCTTGGTATATCTTAAAATGTTACTCTGTTCATATCAAGGACATCAAACATTTAGTTTCAAGTACAGGGAGGTCCTAAAGTCTTGTCACCTTCTACCTCTCTTCCAAACTAGGAGCTCGTGTCAGCCATCAGAAACAGAAAATTATTTTATGTAGAGCTGACAATGACTTTCAGACCACCCTGTACAATTCATAGGAATTAAGTGAATCCTTGATTTAAAAAAAAAAAATAAAATAAAATGCAGATTTAAACTTTATTTTTTGTACAAAATGAATTCTTGCCATGGAGTGTTAAATTGTTTTCTTAAAAAGATGAATATTTTTGCACGGAGTGGTTTATTTGGTGTTGTCAAATGATTGGAGTTGTCAGTGTGACTCAAATGTGATCCTCTGGCTGGCAGAGCTCAGTGGAGGGGGAGGGGTTAAGCAATCAATGTTGCTATTTATTCATTTGGACATACACAAAAATGAAAACATTATGGAACTTTGAGAATTATTCAGGTTTGTTGGTGCACAGAAAAAAAAATAAAAATCACTGGTTATCTTTGTTTTATAGTGATAAATAATTATGACAAAGAAAATGCTCTGCTTCCACAAAAAGGAAATGTGAATTTTTTCCATAATGGAGGGAATTTCTTGAACTGATTTAAAGAATTCGAAAAAGAAAAAAATTGTGCCAATGTGTTTTGTTTTCTAATTTTTTTAATTCTACCTTATTCTTTGAAATATATATTTTATAAGCACGTATTTGGTGGAAGACCATTTGATGCTGGGTGCTGTTGGGACTCTAGGGTTGTCGAAGCTGTAAACAATGACGTCCTTCTTCAAAAAATGAAGGCATTAATATTTCCTAAAAGGGTGCTTTTTTTTTTTTTTGCATACACGACTGATTAATGTCTTTTGTAGGCACGCAGACCAACTCTTATTTGCATATACACAAAAAATCAAATTTGTTCAGTATGAAATAAGACCACTTAAAAAAAGAAAAATAATTGCTGTGTCTGGTCAAAATTTGTTTACAGAAGATATTTGGCTATTCTAAAGGTAAACTTACTGTTATTTTATTTGATTTTTGGTATATTTATTTGGAAAATACAATTGTTGAATCCTAAAACATTTTTGCTACTTATAAGGGCTTTTATGGACAATACCCAGAACTATCTCACTATAGCTGTTAATAGTTCAACTTTTTAAAAATGACAGTTTCACACACAGGACAAGTAAATTTAATTCAGCAGGATTAGTTTCAATTTAATTGTACACACACACTTTCCATAACTTCTGTTATCTGAATTTGG